GACTTATGGTATTTTCAATTGCCATTAATTTTTTTAAGAGAGTCTTGGCATTAGCCAGATTAAGTTTGTCCTGGCTTTCTTTCAGATGGATACCATTGGGTGAAATTGAATAGCAATGAGAAAATAGTAGCAGAAGTGAGAAATTCCTGATATGCCATCTGGAACCCAGAAAATAACTGTAAGCACAGAGTTGAGAGCTAATTCTGAAGCAACCAAATAAAGTAATTTTGTTTGATATGCTAATTGAATGATCAGTACTAGGTCAGCTAAAGAAAAGACCACTAGAGCAGAAACAAAAAGTTTACATTTACAGTGAAAGAGCTAGATGCTGATCAGCAAGCTCATGATATTCTTTTCTAGCAGGGAGTTAACAAGGTTATTTGCAGAGTACATGATCATCAGAACCTCTAAGAGTGTGAGGCACTCAAAAGTGTGTGTTGTGTCTGTCCATATGCATGACTGGATTGTTAAACACTGGGGTCCATTTCTGTAACTCCTGATTTTCAGGAATAAAATGGTTACGGTGTAGACCATTTAGATATTTATGCACAGGATAGACACAACGAGAGGCCATCTTCATGTCTCATCCCTCCTCTGTTGCAATAGGCATCTTCACACTGACTCTTTATGCAACCTGGGAAAGAAGAATGACTCCCATTAACACAGCCAATATTCCTGTCCATGGGGTCATTAGAGCAGGTAATAGGGTTGTAGATAACACAGGACAAGTTGGCTGACTTATAAGTGATGGGAAAGTATGAATAAACCAGACAACTGTTTGTTATGCTTTGCTTATAAATCATAGGCCCCTTAAGGGTGGGGTCATGCAGAAACTAGTGGAACACAAGTTGCAATTTTAAAACTTATAACTATTTGTATTATCTCCCACTGCACTACAAGATATCTAGGGCATAGAGACTTTTTAGATTGTTTATAACAATAATTATCCATGTCCGTCCTGTCATAACTAAGATTTACAAAGTAAAGTCATTTGATTCTTCCAAATTGAAAAGTGTTTCTTTTTCTTAATTCATCCTGTGATACTGTGGTTTGTCTTTGATTTTTGAAGAAACATTTATTGTATTCTTCCAACAATTCTCTGCTATTTTGACAATAAATTTTTTTCAAATTAGGTCATATTTGTCATAAACTGCTGCTTATGAAAATAATGTAGCAACCATTATTCATTTTGTTAGCAATATCATTTTGCTACAAAGGCAAAACTAAATTTTCACCCCATTTGTATCATTATTGCATTCAGTGATATTTTTGCTTATTGTCCTCTTGCATTGATTATTTTGAACAGTTATTTTTGGCACTGTATCATTATGGAAAAAGAATAGAGCCTGAATTCTTTACTTTTTCCAGGATTAGCCTAATTGTCACTAGGGAGACCACTTGTGGAATGAAGAAATCAGATTTGGCCAAAAATGATGATTTACTATTTCTAAGCAGCTTGAATAATGTTATTTATTTGCTCTTGTTTAAAGATACAGTTTAATCTCAAATGAATATTACTGTAATAAAATTTAATATACTTGTTCTGTTTAATTTTTTCTCATTTGTTTCATAAACATTTTGAGAAGCCTGAAAGAAGAGGGCTGTATCTCAGAGTATAAATAGCTTGTTGAGGACACAACATACATTATTTTTTGTCTGTCGGACAAACAATTTTGTATCTAATTGTTCTCACTTCTGCTTATTCTGACATGATTTTGAGTATTGTCTGGTATGTATAATCCCAAGACAATTTCAGATGAAATCAATAAAAATTTTTTTCTTGGAAGGAAATTGCTCAGTTTTTTAAATCAATCCTTTCTCAAGCAGAGTTAGTACTGTTCTTGATAATGTATTTGTTCATTTCAAGATGTTTAGCTATTAATTCTTTTGAGATTAATCAACCAATTAACATCAATGACATCTTGTCTGGATCTGTGGCCCACATGGCTAGCAAACAACTGTTTACTCACTTAGGATGAACTTTTGACATGTTTTACAAATATTTGACCAATTCTGTGATTTTTTCAGATGCTTTAAAATTGGCTGCAAGGCTGTCCTGTTTAAAAACAAACCAAAATAAAACAAAAAATCCTTCTTCTTTCTCCAAATGAACTGCTGTTTTGACTTCATTCCAGTTTCTTTGTTGTTGTTGTTAAAGTGTCTGGAAGAAATTATGGGCAAACAATTGCAGACCTATTCTGTTTCAAATGAGATATCTACTTTAGAGAGGAAATTTCAATCTGGCAATAACACAATTCTTAGTGTAGTGAAGGTCCTATAGTAGGCTATAGAAATTGGTTTGAATGTTGTTCTTATGATGTTAAACCTATTAGATGTAACAAACCATCATTCCTTCAGAAGAAAATATAAAAACATATATCTCATGAATACTAGAGTAAGCAAACAGATATGGAGATTGTATAAGAGACATTGATTTAACTATATACCTTTTTGTGTCCTGGAAATCAGACCTTTGATCAAAGGTTTTCTGCCCCAGAAATTCTTGCATTATTTTTTATGGTTAGATAAGGATGGTAGATACAACAGTGAATGGCTCAGTTTTCAAGGTCTGACATGGTTTTTGTTTTTAAAAGTAAACCATGATTTTGATATGTAATCTCATTTTCTGACTGGATGACTAATTCCAATTTATGGGAGTTTAGTATTATCAAGTGGAGTCTACTATATCCTTATATCCTTTATCCACCATTCCTCTTTAAATTATCAGTTGAGCGTACCCTATCTTGAAACTCTCCTTTTAAAGTTGTTAGTATTTTAGTGCCTTATTTTTTACCAGTAGCATGGACAGCTTGCTTTATGTAATTATAGATTGTTTAGATCCCAGATTATAAAGAACGCAGCTCTTGTCCTGAATGTCTTCCTGAAGGCCTGAAACATGTTTTTCTAAGACTTTATACAGGCTCCCAATAGAATTCCTGAGCTGGTATAATATCTTATTGATTTTTTTTCTTGAAGCATGTTATGTAACAGTCCAAGCATATCCTGTCTTACAAGCCCTTAATGCTCATGAATGACATTTCTTTTTTTTTGCAGTTGTTTTTACCAGCTCAGGTGGATAAAGTATTACTGTCATTCTAGTCTAACGGTCTAGTGTGAGAAATTCCACCTTAAGGTAAAACTGTATCTGTGGGCATATTAATGTTTTAATAAATGTTCAGGGCCAGAAGGCATCAGCTCTCCTTAAAAAGAACATAATAATTTAAACATAAGAGTACCATCATACCTTGTACACAGACAGAGAAATTAAAGGGTCACAAATTTACACAGCTTAGAAGAAATTACCAAAAAATCTGGCTACAGTCAATCAGAGATTCAATTATAAATCATCTTCCTTCTTCGGATTATTCCAGCTCCACTGTATGTTTCAACAGCTAGCACAAACAGGACTTTTTGTGATGATGCCAGAAAAATATACACCACTTCCTGTGATGTGCCAACTGTAGCTAGAAAGGTGCTAGGTTGTATCAGCATACCCATGGGCCCCACACACCCACTGGGAAATATTCTGCAATGGAAAATATACACTCAGAAATAAAATGGTATTACTGCAAAGGAAGCGAGAAAAATGTGTATAGTTAAATGGTTCGGTACCCTTCTTTAGACTGTCCCTTACAACCTAGTTGCATAAAAGAAGCCTGATTTTTTCTTGGCAACTCCTACTTGATTTGAAGCATACAGATTATAAGGCTATTGGAAAGTAAAATTTGTGAATGTCATATGTGAGTGAATGTCCTTTACATCCCAAGTTTTTCTCCGTTATATAAAATTATAGACCATGGTTCCGAAACATAATTGGTTTTCATTTTCTGTATTTCCACCCAGACAGGTGAACTTCCTTTTCTTTAATACCCATCAATATACGTCTATATGTGCACTGAGGATAAGATAGGGGAATGTTTTTCTATAAACGGGTCAATTACAGGTTTGCAATAACTTCTATGTCCCTACTGCCTTCTCCTGAACATGTATTCGATTGTTTCTTAATAGCTTGATTTCAGCTCACAGGATAAGCAAGATTCTACTTCCATAGTTAAGTGCCATACAGCACCGATTACTCAAGTATTTAAAAAAAATATATACTTTGAGAAAACAAGTTCTGGAAGATGTGAAACACTACCGGGGGGGGGTGTGTGTGTGTAAGAAGCCATCCGAGACAGCATTTGCCTGTGCACATCAAACAGAGTTGCGTGAGATTTTTCTATGTGTTCCAATGTCGGGGGACTCATAGAAGACCTGGATATTTCTGTATGTTTTTTATTACCCTATATCTGTTTCCCAAATAAATTCTCACTGAAATTTCAAATAGCTAGACTCATAGTCTAATTTCATAGTAAGGATGTATTGTCTTTCACTGTCATGGCAGACAAGTTATTAGGAATCTGTTAAAGGAATTCACCTCTGTGCTATCAGACACTTGCTCTGTAACTATTCAAATTCAGTGCTGGCAATTTGGGCTTCTTAAAGAATATGTGGAGCCACAGCAAATTCCAAGACCCAGGGTAACAGACAAGTGAATAACAACAGAGTCATCTGAAATAGCTTCAATAGGAGTTGAAAGCCTAAAAAAATTTCCAGCTTGAGGGCTTAGTTACTAAGATTTAGTAAAGCTATTCAGTGAGCCATCAATTTGCTTTTCTTTAGCTTTTAACTGGTCAAGGTAGGTAATCACATATAGTGGTTGGTGGTCATACAAATTACCTCTGGGTGAAACGTACTCCTTTTTGTTCCCTTGCTCAGCAAAGCATTAGAAGTTTTATACAGTATATGATATATCATATATCTTTATAGTCTGCTTAATGCAAACCTCCTAGCTGAATAAACAATTTTATAGAGTAATTCTGTAAAATTAGGACATGCTATTTTGAATAGAACAAAGGAGAACAGGGAAGAGAAATTGCAATTTATTTTGTTTGGATATTTTATCCCTCCATTCTGGTAAAATGTCTGATTTTTTACTTTGTCTTTCCCCCTTTTCATAGTCCATTTCTGACCTGGAGAGACATACAGCATATTATTGTCAGGACTTCACGTACAGGACATCTGAATGCTAACGACTGGAAAACCAATGCAGCTGGTTATAAGGGTGAGAGCTTCCTTTCTTCTTTGTCATCAGAGGCAACATAATTTTTGACATTTTTTAAAAGGAAATAATCTCAAGTAGTTTGGTTGACCCTGTGTTGTGCATAGCTTTGAGTCTTGCCATTAACAAAAGGGGCCTATCTTCTCTTTTATAAAGAAATGTTCTAAAAATGGCTAAACCCAAAAATGCAGCTACAAAAGGCATTGGCCAGATCCTGGTAGTCCCTTTTGGTCCTAATTTGTGCAATGCTTGCAGAAAACTAAGTAAATCAGGTGTTTTAAAATTTATCCTTGTATACCTAGTATACTCATAAAATAGCCTAGAGTTGGAGTTGTAGCAGTTACTGGGTTCAGACCACATTCTCATTTAGAATTGCTGATAATTTTGATTAAAAAATGACAAAACAGTATTCTCAAATTTCAGAATTATATCAGTCACCCTACATTTTTCAATATTTAAGATTTAGGACAAAAACAAACGTTGAGTTATCAAGATTTTTAATGGGACAGAAATCATACTCTTCAATCAGCTCTAATGTAGGTTTCTAAAATTTTGTAGTGTCTTATATTTTTGTATTAAAATTACCTCTTTAGGCTGTATCTTCTATAATGTGAGCAGAAGTACACAATTGTGCCACTAAATAAGACATATATTTTCAAGATGGGTTAAAACTGGACCTTGAATCCATACATGTTGTATTTCAACATGGCTTGGCTTCTGATTCCCATTCACTATACTCTTAACTGCTTTCAGTCTGGATTGCATCTAAAAAACAACCCCAGAATGTCTTATTTCTGATTCTCCTTTCATGAGAAATCTGCCCAAGACTGCAGAACTTCTTTTAAGATGAGCATATGTCTTGAGATTTGAACTATTTTGTGCTAGGATCTCTTGAGACCAGAATATAATATATAAGAACCATCAAATCTTTACACTAGTTTCATTTTAAAACTGAAGCCTAGTGTTAATCTATTCTAGATCAAGGCACTGCTACCATAGAGCATCTTTAATATATCATTCTGACCTATGACATTGCTGCTGCAACTGAATAGAAACCAAACAAAACAGCTTTCATTTCTGGATCCAAACCAGACCCTAACTACAAAGGATACATTTAGAAATGGGTATTTGACTCCAACCCCTTCACCATGTGAAGATTTTGACCTGGGTTTGTCCCATTTACAACAAGCACACAACCACATGCAAAAACACATACAGTGAGAAATAATATCTTAATTATGATAACATTACAGTTTTTGTTATTGTGAAACATAACCCAGTATTTCAAAAGTTTTGGCAAGAAATCATGACTGCATTATCATTTTGTTGGAGCTATCTGAAATTCAAACAATAGTTTTCAAGTAGCATAAAACAGAGTTGGTTGTTTTTTCCCTAACTCACTTTCAAAATTCTATCTTTTTGTGGTTTTCCACTTGTTTCCTGGGAGAGGCAAACAGTCTATGATTCACTTCACAGCAGCTGTCACTCATTAGCAAAAGAGAAGTCACACTAACACACTGTCATTAACAGCATTGGCAGCAGGACATGGACTGTTACACCACTAGCTAGCTTAATCTGAATCCTTGGAGCTATACATTTTTCTATTTGTTGATATATATAGAAGAAAAGGGGTGAAAAAGGGTTTTCCCCCACTTGTGCAAAATCATGAACACAGATAAGATCAACTAGGGGACTGGGAGTCAGGAAATACAACTTGACCTGGCAGAACTCCACTGTAGACTCCATGGTGGAATTGAAAAAGAGGAAGACAAACTAAGTGCCTCAACCTCTATGGAGCTCAGGAATCAACTTTAACTCAAATAAAAGCACTAGTTTTAACTAAATTATCCGGCAAGTTAGGCTGAGCAAATGCTTGCAATAAAAATCCAGCTTTCTTTAAACCTCTGTTGGTTTTAGAAGAAGAAAAAGCAAAAGATTTAGATTAAATCACAACATTCGAAACTGGACTCAATTGGTGTTTACACACCACTGCTGGCAAGACCAAACCAGTATGTTACTATTGCACGTGGCAATATTTAGGGTAATATTTGACTATTATCCTTCACTGTTGCCAAGACTAACAATTAAAGAATGCTTTTTAATAGATGAATTACTCTGATTAATCTGAGTACCTTAAGGAAATGTATCATAATTTTGTTGATGACAAGATCCATATTTCTTCCAAGGCATAGTCTTAACAAAGTAAGGGTGAGGAAGCTTTTTTTTTTTTTTTTTAATTAACTAAAACAAAGAGAGTCACGAGAAACAATCTGCCTTTCTTCCATGCATGCTGGGGAAGAAAGAAAAAAAAATAGGAGAAAAGGAGAGACAGACTTGCTCCTTTAGAAATGAGAACTGAAAGGGTAAAAACAACAAAAACTTGGAAGAACCTCTCACTCAACAAAGGGTCAGCAAAAGCTGGTAGTTGAAAGTGGGTCAGCATGCCTCTTCAGTGGGATGTTTTTCCAGGCTGCATGGCAACATTGTCCCTCAATATAGTCCTTTGCAGTCTTTCTCTGTTGCAGAACACACAGAAGGAGCTCACAGATGTCATTATTGATTGCAAGTTCTCCATATTTCTGTCTAACATTAATAAGATTGTTTCATGAAAAGCACTTGAACCAGCCAGTGATTTGCTAAAGCAATGTCAGTTATTTGTTTCATTTTCTGGTAAGTAAACAGCATTCATTAAATGTATGTCAACAGAATGAAGAAAGGAAGGGGCAAGAATTTTTTACTGTTATTGTTTTGTTTTGTTTTGTTTTGTTTTGTTTTGTTTTGTTTTGTTTTGTTGTCAGCCAGCAGATATCTATACACAGGAATTTATTACTTGATATTCTCAAAAAGAAAGACTGAGTACTCAGAGTATTTTTTTGTCTAGTCAGTTGTAAATATAATTTGTCACTAGATAAAGAGATCAATTTGGCTCAATTTGGCTTCAAAATCAGAGGTTTTTTAAATAATTAAGCAGCTGATTAACCAGTTATTTAGAAAAATACTAGAGAATATCTCTTTTTGTGAAGATACCAAAATTGTCAAACTGTTTCTGCTGTGGCAGATTGGTATGCAAAGGCTCATTGTTATGTCAATTGTTTGGTCAACAATAGAGCTTCCCACTGCATTCATAAAAAGGGAACACTGCGTTAATGCTCATTTGTTTCTAGGTTGAAAGAAACAAAACACTGCAGTTTTAAGAAAAATGATCAAATAATCTGAAAAATTCTTTATATGTAACTGAAGCTCTATATACTCTCAAAGAAAATTCTCTGGGTAAACGGACCATTCAGAGTGAGGGAATACTATTAATTTGCAGGGAGATTTTAGAGAACATCCTTCAGTTGTCTTGGCTCTAAAGTGTAGATAATAACACTTCAGTACAGTGAAAAAAAATGCCACTGAAAGATAAATGAAAATCAAAACTCTAGCCACTTCTGTCCATTTCAAGACATTTCTAGGCCTGGTGGAGGTAGTCTTCCTACAGAAATTGAGAGCAATCTCATTTGCCAGGGAATAATAACATACTAGCAGAGCTAAATCCCATCCATTTAGATTAGCCAAAGTATCACAGTTGGCTACTTTAGGAGAGAGAAGTGGCCTTTGAATATAATTTTTTAATTATAGTGTTATAGTGTTTAATAAAACTGGTGATTATTCTTGTAACCAGAGCATTACCAATTCTGGGACTGATGAAGAGACAAGACTATCTATGTTCCTATGATTGGTCAGATTTAAATTGCTGTAAGGTGACCAGTAACCAGGCACAAATTCAGAGAGCAGTGAGAAAATCTGCACAACAGCATGTACATTTCAGAGAAAAAAAAAAAAGCTATCCATAAGCACCATGCTGCATATTTTAAATAATGATATGAAATTATATTTTGAAAACATTGTTAGAAGCTGGTATAAGACTCCTGAAAATGGCAAACACTCAAGAACTGATATATCAACCAAAGCTGTACATATATCAAAAGACCTTCCAATCTTACAGATTCTAGCTGGTATTTGCATATGGTGATAAGAGCCAATATCAAGTTATACCCACCCCTACAGCCCATACACATGGTGCACAGAGCATGTAGAACATGGGCTTTGAGTTTGGCTGTCATTTTTGGGTTGTTTGGCTAGCTAACACCAAACACATGAAATTGCATTGATTTTACTTTGTAAGAGTGGAACAGACTGTATCCTATGCAAATTAGACTAATTTTTTGTGATTGAAAAATGAAGCTGATATTTTCAGGAAGACAACTTTGCTGTCAGTATCTTCTAGGTTCCACTTGTTGAGGAACATCGGCAAATTAAATCTCATGTGACTTGTTTCTCTCACTTTCTGGGGGCTTTGTTGGATCAAGGCAATGTCTCCTCACCAGGAATACCCCTAGGGCCATGTCCTCTGGCCACTCGCTCCTCTCAGCAGGCCCATAGCCTCATTGCCAAGCCATGACACAGCTATTTCTGCAGCTTTACACCATCCAGGGAATCCTTTTAAGCTAGATTTTGCTTCCAAACATATTAGTCTTTGAAAAAGGCTCCAGCTCGGGTGACCAAGATGGTGAAAGGCCTCGAGGGCAAGACTTATGAGGAGCGGCTGAGGTCACTTGGTTTATTCAGCTTAGAGAAGAGAAGGCTGAGGGGTGACCTCATTGCAGTCTACAACTTCTTCAAGGGGGGCAGCAGAGGGGGAGGTGCTGATCGCCTCTTTCTGGTGACCAGCAATAGGACACAAGGAAACAGAATGAAGCTGCATCAGGGGAAGTTCAGATTGGACCTTAGGAAAAGGTTCTTCACTGAGAGGGTGGTCAGTCACTGGAACAGGCTCCCCAGGAAGTGGTCACGGCACCAAGCCTGTCTGAGTTCAAGGAGTGTCTGGACGATGCTCTTAGTCATATGGTTTAGTTTTAGGTAGTCCTGGGAGGAGCAGGGAGTTGGACTCGATGATCCTTATGGGTCCCTTCCAACTTGAGATATTCTATGATTCTATGATTCTATGATCTAGAGTCCTA